GTAATCACAAGTCAAGGCTTGTGAAGTTTAAAAGCTGTTGCAAGTGTTGGCATTTTATAGTGAGCTTGTGCTCAAGCAGCTGCATGTCCCATCACACACTCGCAGACTTGCCCGTGTGAGCATTTGAGTAAAAAAGCACTGCCGCCTTTTTAAAACTTTGTTTGATATAAGGAAGGGGGGGGGAAGCCCCTGCTATTCTTGTTGCTATGGCGACCGTGCACTGCGTGGTGAACTTTGAAGCACAGCACACAGCACTGATTGTGTCTGACCTTAGAGCGGCCTGTGCAGGGCAAACTTTCGACTTTGCACAGCTATTAGTGCAGCAGAGAGAGAGACAAGTGTTCTTGGCTGTGTTTGTGAAACAAAGTCACACATCATAAACTCACAGAAGTTCTTAAAAGGAAAGAATTTCGTTGACTTTCATATAATCTATAAAATCCTCAAAGGGTAAAAACCAAACAAACATATACTTAAGTGCAAGTTTAATAGAAAGATGATTTAGAGAGTAGATGCTTAATCTCAGCTTCCTAATTTTGAGAAAATTCAGGCTGGCACAGGAGGACCCCAGAAAGATGTCGGCACATTGGGAAACGTGAACTAGATTAGTCTCGGGAGTGGACTACACTTCCAGAAACTGGACTTCTCCCAATCTCTTTCACAACTGGTGCTGTAGCCACATGTGAGCTCATGTGGTGCAGTAAATCAAAAGTGTTTTTCCATCAAGAAAGCTGTGTGAAGAATCCAAGAAGTGGCATGGATTTTTTATTATTTATACAGCACATTTTATTACATTAAGGACACCTCATGTGCTTTACATGAGGTGAAATACATTTAGAATCACATATTTAGCTGAGATGCTTCTGTCTGCACTGTATTTGGGATCAAGAGGAAGTAATATATGAGAAGGAATTTGATTTTCCTCTATCAAAACAGCGAATTTGACATAAATTATTCCCACATATAGACTTAAATAGTATCAGTACATTCAATAGAGAAATCAGCTTTTGCATTCGGCGTATAAGGTTGAGCATGACACAGTGACAGATGATTTTAGCCAAGATAGATCTGTGCTCACACAGCAGCTCATAGCAAACCTTCCCAAATCTGCACAACATAATGATCCCAAGCAGATTATATATTAATAGAGTCAAAATAAAAGTATACTTACAGCCATACAACCGAACAGTTAGTTTTCTAGGATAACACTGATGCACACTGTATGCAGCATGGATTTAGGTCATAATTTAGTTAATGCAGGACACCTGAGCAGCAAGCAGGCACAGTCCAGCTCCAGGTTTTACCGTCCTCCCTGGTGTGTGCATGCTTGTGTGTAACGATGGTGGGCTCCCATCCATTCTCATGGTAATTGGAGCTCTGGAATGGACCTGCACGTCCTCCACAAGCCTCGCGAGCTGGACTTCAGATTGACAATGGTCTATCTTAGAATGGGTAGTATTGTTTGAAGCGCTATGCGTGAAGGGGCGTGTGCTTGTTTTTGGAGCGGTTTTGGAGGAAGTTGCACACAGCAGGTGGGTGAAGCCTCAACATCTTGTCTTCTCTCCCCTTTTTTTCCCTTGGTAAAAACACCTTGCTTTGGAGAGACATAGGGAATATGTAAAGCTTTGATAAAGGGCTGTGAAATTAAATCTATTTCTTTTATGCATTTTATATTTAGCCTACTTGGAAATTTTCTCCAGTCAAATCTCTTTTTTGTGCATCCATAACCCAGGGATTCTGACAGAGTTGCTGTTTGTTTGTTCTATCTGATATCTGAACTCATGGTGGCCCGTTCTAATGTATCAGCTGTGACTGTATCACTCACATATGAGTATGTGTGAGTCACCCCGGATGACAGAAGGTTGACAGCGCAGTTTAGCAAGAGCTGTGTCTGTCTTACATCACTTGATAGTGCTGCTGATTGACCTACACTCCCTGCTGAGGATTTGTGCTTTTATCTATAAGCTCAGTACTGAATGTGATTCATAAGGCGGAGGTTTGTCACTGAATTTCCATGAAAGTTTACTCAGTAAATCCCAGAACCATCCCAGCATGAAACTGAAGGAAAACGTTTTATTCTCAACTCTTCTCTCCACCTGTTCCAATTTCACCTGTTGAAGCCTGTTGATCACAAATAGTGGCACCATGCCTTTGTGAGCCCTGACTGTGGAAATAGACATTTAGTATCAGGAAGTCATAGATTATTTATCATTTGTTGTCCTCAAAAGAAGCCGTGACCGGTTCTTGTCATGTTTTTACAGTCGTCTTTCTGTATATAGGACTTCTTTTTTATTAAAGGTGCAGAAATATGGCAGTTTTTGCTCCAAAATCAGCAGATTCTGAAGTATTTCTATAGGACATTTAGTAAAAAAGATTTATTTTTAATCATGTCCCATATTAGTTATCCTGGTTAGGGCTTTAATATGAAGTCTTTGTTTGGTTTTAATGTAACCGGGTCAGTGTTTGAATGTAATTCACAGAAACCCCCCTCCCAGTCTCCTAAACTTTAGCAGGCACTGTGTATTTTAAATGTTTACTGGTTAGGAATCAATGGTGTTTAAAATGAACAAAATTAGACCTTTTTATGTTAAAAAGAACTAGTTTATAGAACTCATCTGGCTTCAGATCATTGAGAAAGCTCATTACTTATAACATTTACTGTTTGTACTGAGGGATCGGCCTGATTATTGGCAGTAGTCACAGGTGTCTCATTCCATACAGAGATATGGAATTATTGTTGTAAGGGTGTTTCCTGTTGGCTGAGTTTACTGCTAAGTGACTTGTTCTCGACCTGTTTCTGGGCTCGTATTCGCAGCCATTAAAGCAGGCCTACAATAAACCCTCTTTGCATTATTTTACACAACAAAGAAAAATAAAATTCCACACAAGTGGGTCAAAATCCGGTCTGGCGGCCTCGCGAGTCAGAAGCGTACGGAAAAACATGTGAAGTGGAGCATGTGCCATCGCCGCGTTTGTGTGAGCAGGATCAAATGTGGGAATGAGCCGATTGCTTCCAATTAAAGCGGGAGCCTTTTGTTTCTCCTCACCCGACTGTGTCACCGTGTGACTTTCAAAAACTAATTGGTGAACTACTTTCTCGTGGGTGGGAAGACACATGGGTGTGAGTGGTGAGAAAAGCTCCTTTGAGTTGAGCTTTAGCCCCGTCACGTGAGGAGGAGGGCGAGGAATGCGCACACAAACACACACTGCAGTTACAAAGTGTGGATTTATCCAGTTTTTGTTGGGCTTTTTTTGTTTTTTTTTTTTAAATGTTTTCTAGAGTCTTTAAATTCATCTTCAACACTCCTTTAACATGAAGGTAGTTTAGATAATCTAGTCCCATTAGGGATGTGACGCAAAGCTGTGACTTTGTGGTCTGAATGTGTGTTTGTGTGGCATACTGCTGCGCTGGGGAACATGAGGGTAAGCAGAGTTAACTTCATTAGCCTCCGACAGCATCTGTCAGTGGAGGCAGGGTGACGTCACCCCGTCGGTCGGTCCAACACGCCACACGCTGGATCCACTCAGTGTTTCCTCTTCTTGAGCCAAAACCTAGATGGGAGGGTAAAAGTTTAAAGTCCCAGCAGGGTCAACAGATAGTACAGAAGAGAGAGAAACAGTGAGATGTTATGAGTTATGGTTCAATTAAAACCAAAAAAGATGAAACAAATAAATCTTTATGTGCATTTGCACTAATGTAAACATCTAATATGTAATATATGCCTTAATATGATGCTGTTTAATCGTTTTATCTGCCACACTGCAAACAGGAATATTTTCATTTCTTACTGTTCTAATATCAGATGATACATTAATGGCTAAATTGTTTAAATGCATAATGAATAATTTCAGTGCTCATACACTAACACTTTTTTTTCCCTCTAAGTGGACCTTGGACTTGCAGTGACGTTTATGTTTTGCTTTGTGGGATTGAAGGATTTGCATGTGTCTTCCACCTGCAATGGGTTCAGCGTACATGTGTGACACAGATGGATCCCGTTCTCATCACCCACCAGTTCTGTTATCTTTTCATCCTCTCTTCCCCTCTCTAACTGTCTCATCTAGAGCCTGTGTGTCTGTAGTTGCTGTTGCAAGCTATTGTCCTGCACACAAAAGGCCCGAGTCCACTCCAGTTTTATGTCCATTCATAAAAAGCAGCGGCGCGTAAACAAGGCTTTCCCTCCAGTTCAGGGCTCCCGAAGAGATCAGGCCTCCGTGAGTGATAGCGGAGACATTGATCAAAAGCTAGGCGACGAAGAGCAGCGGGCAGACCGGGTGGGTGGGCAAGAGTGTGTTTGGTTACAAATGAAGGGAGACGTGGGATGGGAAACTTCTTCTCTTGACTCTGCTTACTGTCACCTTCACAAGAGCTGCAAGTGATAAACTAGAGAGGAAATTCACCTCCAGATTTAAAAAAATGATTCTGACAAAAACGTAAAACACTGATGTAAAATGTTTGAACGCTCTCCTGTTTTTGCAGAGATGACGCTTTTGCCGTCTGAACCTAAAACTCTGGAGTCCGCCCCCATCTCCGCGACGCCCAGCGCCAGCACGGGCTCTGAGGATCCAGAGACCAGGATGCTAGAAAAGAGGTCAAAGGTCATCGAGGAGCTGCTGCAGACAGAGAGGGACTACATCAAAGACCTTCAAATGTGTGTCGAGGAGATCATTGAGCCTCTGCAGCAGAAGCAGGTAAAAGGATGAT